GTTTGCCAGTTGCCAGAACAATTAAATGGGTCAAAGCACAAATATTCCAAAGTTCTGTTTACTTTAAATATTTCCTATATGTCCTCCTGCATCAGCTATTAGCATACACCTGGGTGTACAGATATGAGAGTTGGGCCATAAAGAAGGCTGAGTTCCCAAAAATTGATGCTTTCAAATTGTGGTGCTGGAGAACTCTTGAGAGTCGCTTGGGCTACAAGGAGATCAAACCAGTTAATCCTAAAGGAAATCAACCCTGAATATTCATTGGAAGGACGGATGCTGAAGCTGAAGCTCTAACACTTGAATACCTGATGTGAAGAGCTGACTCATTGGAAAAGATTCTGATGCTGGGAAAGACTGAAGGCAGGAAGAGAAGGTGGTGACAGAGGATGAGATGGTTGGATGACATCACAAACTCAACAGATACGAGTTTGAGTAAACACCAGGAGATAGTGAAGGATAGGGAAGCCTCACATGCTGCAGTCCCTGGGGTTTCAAAGAGTCAGACATGACTTGTGGATTGAACAACAAGAACCCTTGGGTATAAGAAGTTAGAGCTCAAAACTTAAAAGCAATTATTTTGTGTATTACTTAAAAGTAATAGTGATATGTTTACAATAGCCAGGACATGGAAGCAACCTAGATGCCCATCAGCAGACAAATGGATAAGGAAGCTGTGGTACAGATACACCATGGAATATTACTCAGCCATTAAAAAAAATTCATTTGAATCAGTTCTAATGAGATGCATGAAACTGGAGCCCATTATACAGAGTGAAGTAAGCCAGAAAGATAAAGACCAATACAGCATACTAATGCATATATATGGAATTTAGAAAGACGGTAACGATAACCTGATATGCAAAACAGAAAAAGAGACACAGATGTACAGAACAGAATTTTGGACTCTGTGGGAGAAGGCGAGGGTGGGATGTTTAGAGAGAACAGCATAGAAACATGTATATTATCAAGGGTGAAACAGATCACCAGCCCAGGCTGGATGCATGAGACAAGTGCTCGGGCCTGGTGCAGTGGGAAGACCCAGAGGGATCGGGTGGAGAGGGAGGTGGGAGGGGGGATCAGGATGGGAAATACATGTAAATCCATGGCTGATTCATGTCAATGTATGACAAAAACCACTACAATATTGTAAAGTAATTAGCCTCCAACTAGTAAAAATAAATGACACATAAGTTTACATCAATCACAACAGTTGGGTCGTTTGTTTTTTACCTGCAGTGGACATTAACTGTTTTGTGAACTTAGGTCATATCTTAAAACTGTTCCTTCCTCTACTATCGTTAAGTGCCAAAATTTGCTGTTATAAGACCTTCTGACTTGGGAAAACCCATGAAAGAATACAGCTTTTAGAAAAATAAAACTACACTCCAAACTAGATACTACTAAATTTAGAGATTCACAGAATCTTCCTTTGCCTCAAAGTCTAACTTTCTAATTTTACGAATGAGAAAACTGAGACCCAGGATTAACGCTATACCTGAAGTCCCACAGATCATCTGTAGAGAAGTCAGAACTAGAATTTCAGAGTCTTGGGTCAAATGTTGTCTTAGACTCAACTCACTCTAAAAGTTTCCTTCATAGAACAAATATTCATTTGTGAGGTCATAATCTAACCGAGGGCAAAATTACACTTAATCTACAACAGATGCCCCAATAGTTAGTCCAGAATTTACCAACAGGTGGAAAGGTGTCACTAGCTACAGTCAGTTGGCATGGACACCCTATACCAGCTGCGCTCTGTAGGGAATCACCCACAGAGCCTCTCACTAAACCTCCCTGCTACATACATACACTTGTTTGCAAAATGCCTGATATGAGTTGAGAGTGAAATAAATAAAATCATGACTTCCCTTTGTGCAAAATGACCCAGCTCTCTTGTGAATCTTAGCTCATCTGGTCTCTTCTTGAAACAACCAAGTAAAGCAGTTGCAACAACCAGAAGTGTCTTTACTGACTCACGCTGGGGAGGGACCTGCCAAGGACACAGACAAATGTTTCCCTTCAGCTTTCTTCTGAGTTTCAGTTTAAGGCGAGGCAAGTTGGAAAATATTTTTGTTAGTGTTCTCCACACTTTAAAAAAAAAACTATGTTACTCTCATACTTTAAAAAAATAATCTGAAAGCTTCTACCAAGTATCCAATGCAGTCAAACACATAATATCAGTCACAGTAAAAATCAGAAAAATAATAAGAATAATGGCTATCATTTTTAGTGCCAGTGCAATGCACCCAGCAGCACACTCCTGGCACTATGGAAGTACCCTGTCACAGGAAACCTACAAGTTGGGTGTGTCAATATCCCCATTTTACAGATCAGAAAGCTGGTGGGAAAGATTACAGGGAAAGAAAGTGAAGCTGTGATCTGACACAGAACAGTCTCTTGGCAAAGCCCACATGCTCACATTCTGTATTTGCTTGAAAAATACATTTGTTCTTAGTTTGGTAATTTCATTAAGTTCATTCTTGACTCAAGATTCATACTTTAGGAACTGGTTTTTCAAAGCTTCCTTAAAGCAGGAGTCAGACTTAACAAGGGCTTCCCTTGTGGCTCAGACAGTAAAGAATCTGCCTGCAATGCAGGAGACCTGGGTTCAATCCCTGGGTCAGGAAGATTCCCTGGAGAAAGGAGTGGCTACTCACTTCGGTATTCTTGCTTGGAGAATCCCACGAACAGAGGAGCCTGGTGGACTTAAGTCCATGAGGTCGCAAAGAGTCAGACACAACTGAGAGACCAACAGTTTCATTAGACTTAATAAATTTGTCTAAAAATGCTTNCTGCCTGCAATGCAGGAGACCTGGGTTCAATCCCTGGGTCAGGAAGATTCCCTGGAGAAAGGAGTGGCTACTCACTTCGGTATTCTTGCTTGGAGAATCCCACGAACAGAGGAGCCTGGTGGACTTAAGTCCATGAGGTCGCAAAGAGTCAGACACAACTGAGAGACCAACAGTTTCATTAGACTTAATAAATTTGTCTAAAAATGCTTTGAGAGCTCCTGCCTGCCAGCTGAAATCAATTTTTATTTCTCTGTTCATTTCCTAGACTCTTCAGGTCTCGTAAGCTGGTTCTTCCCCTGGGTTATCACTTTTCCAGATTCTTGATCTGGCGGGTAGCATACCCTAACCATTTCTAGGGTAGCCCAGACACATTTGTCTTCTGGATCTATCTTCTCTCCTCTGTAGTCCCTTCCTGAAATGAATCAAACCCCTCCTCTGCCAGGAGAGTAAACCTTACCACATCACCCACTTGCCCAGCCACACCTTCAAGAGGAATCCACATTCCTGACCAGCAATATTCAGAAAATCATGCTGAAGCAGACAAATCACCTGCCTTCCTAAAACCCACTTGTCTGCTTTCAAAGACGCTTACCTCAACATCACTCCACAGGGCTGCTGAATTCAAATTACTTGAATTTAGTCCCTGACCAAAATAAAATCGTTACTAAAAGAAGTACACAAAAACATCCCCTGGAGCACTACCTGTAATACATCCAAACTGGAAACTACCGAAATGGCCAGCAACTATAAAATACATGTACAACTGAATACCATGATAGTTAAGGAGAATGTAATAAATTAACTATATACAATATCATACAGAATTTCACAAACATAATAAGCAAAATAAGCCAGACACAAAAGAATATAAACTATATGATTCTATTTATATAAAGGATAAAAACAGGCAAAATTGTATCAATGGCATTAGAAATCAGGAAACTGGTTACTCATGGGAGCATTAGGGGAGGAGAGTTGGAGGGGCTGCTAATTTTCTATTTTCTTGCACTGGTTACACAGATGTGTGCACTTTGTAACAATCATTCCATCAAGCCATCCACTTACAATTTGTGTACTTTGTTCTGTATGTAAGATACTTCAATAAAAAGCCTACTGAAAGAGACCCTGGAGAACATCTGGTCTGTTCTCCTTAACAGGCATAATAGTAACTGTCTCCTGTAGATGTTAAGTATCCCAAAGACACACAGAAATTCGTGGAAAGGTCAGTCTAGACATTAGATCTCTTAACTCCCCCTCCAGATACCAAAAGTACCTCTCAAACTTGTGAAGACGTTTCTCTAACTTCCTTTCTTCTTGTGACTACAGCCAAGGTTTAGAAAAATCAGGACTCCATTCCTATTAAGAACACAACCCAGAAGGTTCCAATCTCCAACAACAACTGAGCCAGGATGAGGATTTCAACATTATTTAGAAAATGGCGAATGAGAAAAGTCAGACAGCATGGTGTTCACTCTAGGTTCCTCCCCTTCCTAGCTGTGTGATCGTCTGTAGCCTCCTCACCTCTCTCTGAACCTCAGTATACTCACCTGGATCACCATCACTAAAATATGGGCTCCTACTTTGCAAGGCTGACTCAAGTGTAGCACAAGGTGATGGTGTCAGAGCAGTGCCTGGCACATGACAAGCACTCAGAAAAAGCATTTGCTGAATGAATATTGATTGAATTGAATCAGTCGAGTGCTTGTCTTTTAATAGAAGTTCAATACATAGCTAAGTATCACTACCAGCACAGAGCAAAAGACACAAGGAGGAAAGGATAAATAAGCTTATACTGGAAACACCTCACTTCTCTAAGTCTGTGGTTGACCAACAATTCTCACTGACTTACATGGTGTGCTAAAAGAACCTGTAGGGTAAGGAGCAACAAAAGGTTTGAGAAAAGGGCGGTGCTTCTTATGTGCTGCCAGGTCTACTTTCCCTCTTGACACCAAAGAAAGATTTACTCACTGACTGTCACAACATGTCTAAGTTCGACAATCACCTATGTTAGTCATATTACTTTTAGAATTTAAAAAATTGTAAGCAGAGGAATGGGTCATGAATTATCATACTCTTTATGAGTAGACTATGCAAACAAGCAGCTTTACTACTGGCAAAAAAATTTACATAATGAAAGTACAGAAAGGTAATTGCAGGCTATGAAGATGACACAAATGAATAATAGTGAGGAGACAGTTTACTCACATTTTAAAAAACAAGTTTAATGGTGAATTTTTTTTTCTTCAGCTCTTCAGATCTTCCATGTACTTATTAGCAATATGATCCATGAAGCTCTTTTATACTGAAAAGAAACAAATATAAAGGAGATAAATTAAAACCAACTTCAAACTATGACACACCATAAAAAAGACCCTATAGATGGGGAATTATTATATAAGCAAAGAACATCAAACTAGATAACATGTGTGCAATTTAAAAAAAAAACAATAAAATGTGGGACTTCCCTGGTGGTCCAGTGTCTAAGACTCTGTGTTCCCAATGCAGGGGATCTGGGTTTGATCCCTGATCACAGAACTAGATCCCACATGCTGCAACTGAAGATCTTGCATGCCACTATGGAGATCAAAGAATCCATGTGCCACAACTAAGACCCAGGGCAATTAAACAGATATTTTTAATTAAATAAAAATTAAAAATGAATAAAAACAATAAAATGTGTTAAGGACCAACAGATTTAACTAATTTCCTTCCACCTATCCTTCCACTGTTCCTTCCTCTCCCATCCTTTTCTTCCTTCCCCCCTTCCAGCATTCATTCTTCCTTACTTCCTCAGTTACTGGCCACAACTTCATATATTCCTTGAAACCTGAATTTCAGCAGAAAACTACTGTCATTAATTTTTATACCACAAAGTACCTGGAATAGGTTAGCTACCTTATGTTTCCTGAATAAATGAATTAATCATAGTTCACCAATGCTTACTTGTTAAGGTTTTAAAAAAGGAAGAAACTTTATTATTTTCTTATCCAACAAGAATAATACATAAACAGTATGTAGAAACACATACACTGCTTTTTAGACTTGTGATTCTGATTCTCGTATTTCTTTTAAACTGCATATACTTAGAAATAAATTCCCAGTACTATATATTTGGGCATGAATATCCTCACCATTACAATAGTATCATACATTCTGGTCATGAAGGAATATTGAGGAATAGTAAATGTCCCAATATCTCATAACTACTTCCAACCAAATGAGAAAGTTGAGTGTCTCCATGTCAAATGCTAGAGGCATGATCTCACATGTGCTTTTCAAATGTACATATGATCAGGACCAGTTCTAGACAAAATTGTGAAGTAGGAGTTTAACTGCTTCCTTCTCTCTGTCCTTTTGAGGAGCCAGTGACCTCACATGCTTAATTAAGCAGAGAAAGACTCTGTGTTCCCAATGCAGGGGATCTGGGTTTGATCCCTGATCACAGAACTAGATCCCACATGCTGCAACTGAAGATCTTGCATGCCACTATGGAGATCAAAGAATCCATGTGCCACAACTAAGACCCAGGGCAACTAAACAGATATTTTTAATTAAATAAAAATTAAAAATGAATAAAAACAACAGATTTAACTAATTTCCTTCCACCTATCCTTCCACTGTTCCTTCCTCTCCCATCCTTTTCTTCCTTCCCCACTTCCAGCATTCATTCTTCCTTACTTCCTCAGTTACTGGCCACAACTTCATATATTCCTTGAAACCTGTATTTCAGCAGAAAACTACTGTCATTAATTTTTATACCACAAAGTACCTGGAATAGGTTAGGTACCTTATGTTTCCTGAATAAATGAATTAATCATAGTTCACCAATGCTTACTTGTTAAGGTTTTAAAAAAGGAAGAAACTTATTATTTTCTTATCCAACAAGAATAATACATAAACAGTATGTAGAAACATATACACTGCTTTTTAGACTTGTGATTCTGATTCTCGTATTTCTTTTAAACTGCATATACTTAGAAATAAATTCCCAGTACTATATATTTGGGCATGAATATCCTCACCATTACAATAGTATCATACATTCTGGTCATGAAGGAATATTGAGGAATAGTAAATGTCCCAATATCTCATAACTACTTCCAACCAAATGAGAAAGTTGAGTGTCTCCATGTCAAATGCTAGAGGCATGATCTCACATGTGCTTTTCAAATGTACATATGATCAGGACCAGTTCTAGACAAAATTGTGAAGTAGGAGTTTAACTGCTTCCTTCTCTCTGTCCTTTTGAGGAGCCAGTGACCTCACATGCTTAATTAAGCAGAGAAGCAATGGGATCAGCTCAAAGATTCCAACAACTTAATGGATATGGATCTTGAGAACATTTTCATTAAACAAACAAACAAACAAAGAGCTTCAGAAGAGGCAGGTGCTTAACACTGAAATAAAACCAATGGAATTCAGGCATGAATGGGTGGATAGAGGCTGTCTTGAAGGAATTTCTCAGCTCAGGTAAGCTTCTGTCCATTCAACCTCCCCAAAAGCTTACTTCATATATACACATACACTTCACACATACACACCAATCCAGGTAAATTTTAAGCAATTAATGATGCATACATAAACAAACCTGATTTTAAGACTACTGTGTGCTCCAAAAGTGAACAGGACTCTTCATCAGCAGTTTTTAAAGTGAGTGTCTGGGAACCCTATCCAACAGGTGTTTCTAAGAACAGAGGCAGAGATGAATAGATGTGTGGTAGCGGGCAGAGTAACTGCACTTTTATCTGTTTTATACTTTAATCCAAGATTTAAGTTGGAGAATTGGTTCCTTGAGCTGCTTACAGAAGGGTTCAAACTAAGCAGGGATTGCATTAAAAGCTAGGGCAGAAATCCCAATGAGCTGATAACACTGCTGATCTAGAAGCATAATCACACCAAATCCCAACCACCATCTCTAACAGAGCCCCTTATGGGAAAATGTGGGTTCCAGCCGGAGTCCCAGAGCACAGGTCAGCCTGTGTCTGAGCCGACAGGAGCCAGGCCTGCCTTTCCTTCCCACCCAGTGCCCTGAACAAAGAGCAGAATGAGGGCACAAAGCCAGGCTGGGGAGGACTCGTGGATATTGCAGAGGTGGGGAGACCGGCAGTGGAGGGGGGTCCTTGTTAGAAATTACATGTACAAGGTTTAGATGCTTTCCATGTCAGGACTACCTGAACAGGAACAAAGAAGGAGAAAAAATAGTGAAACAATTTAAGGAGAAGAAAAAGACATAGCTATGTTCTATAAGACTCACCTCGAAGTCACATGTAAAATCAGAAAATGATTTTTTAAAGAGAGTATTATAAGAAAGTGCTGCCTGAACTTGCTCCAGAGGAATTCATGCTAACTATTAATAAGCAGCACTGGGAACATTCGAGCGTTCCCTCAGCACAGAATTCTTGATTATTGGCCCAACCAGGACTGAATACATAATAACATTTATAAACATGAACTATGAGACTTTTTTGAGTTTCCATCAGTGAGCCTTGTTTAAGCAAGTCAAAGATACCCTTTGTGATGCAGTTTTGATCAAATTCAAGAGACTTTAGTCATTTCCTCAGAAACAGACGTAACTATAAATACAAACTAACCAACAGTCAGCCGCTCACAAAGAGGCTGACTGACAAGTTTAATTTAAAAACAAGAACACATTATTAAACTGAAAAGTTAAGCCATCAAAAAATCGAAACCCATGCAAACTACATTCCTAGCAGAAAAACCCTTAGTGTAATGACAAGGATAATTACAAACAACTTTTTATATGACTCACAAACCTTTCCTTTTCAGAGATTACAAAAAAAACACAAAAAATAAAAAAAGCAAAACCCAGTATATTTGCATCCATTTAATAGTACAAACCCGAACATCCTGCCCAAATCTCAGATTTCAAATGCCAAGAAAATTCTCCAAACCACTAAATAAATGACTTCTATATATCCCTTTGAGATGGAAAACACATTTATCACGACTGTTTATCTTCTAAATCCCTTTGATCTTGCAAAGCATGACCATCATAATGGAAAGTAACATGTCAGACTAATAATCGTTAGGAAGGGAAGTGAAAGTGTGAAAGTCGCTCAGTCATGTCCGACTCTTTGCGACTCCATGGACTGTATGGTCCATGGAATTCTCCAGGAGTTAGGAAGGGAAGTTACTGCTTATTATAATAATGCCACATGCCATACTTTAAATGAAATTTGAAGCTCTATTCACATTAGACAAGCATCTAAAGCAGGAGTCTGTATGCAGGGCAATGTGGTCTGCCACCTGTTTTTATAAAATTTTATTGGAACACAGTCAAGCCCATTAATTCACATATTGTCTATGGATGCTTTTGCAGAACATAATGACAGTGTTGAGAAGATGCAACAGAGACAGTAAGGTTTACAGAGTATAAAATATTTGCTATCTGATCTGGCCTTTTGAGCAAAAGTTTCCTGACCTTTGAACTAGGAAACAGCTATTTCTGTGGACTAAATCTTGAAATGAGAAACACTAATCCTAGAGAGGGGCTTCCCAGCTGGTTCAGATGGTAAAGAGTCTGCCTGCAATGCAGGGGACCAGGGTTCAATCACACACCACAGAGGATCAGTTCTACCAGTTTGATCACGGGGTCGAACTCCATCACAGAGGAGACTGGCAGGCTACAGTCCATGGGGTTGCAAAGAGTTGGACACAACTGAGTGGCTAAACAATAATCTAGTGTAGTAATCTTGTTGGGTACCTTCACCTTTAGCTGCTTTCCCTCATTTACAACACAATAAGAAGTCATATGCATTGATACCAGATACTATTCTAACAACTTTACTTTTAGTAAATGAACAGTAAATTCATTCATTTAATTCTGGCAAAGACAGAGAGAAGCAAATTATTATCCCCATCAAACAGATGAGGAAATTAAAGGAGAGGGGTTAAATAACTTACAAAAGATCACATTGCTGTTAAGTGGAGAAACTGGGATCACAACTCAGGCAACACAGGTCCTGAGCTGGTATAATTAATCTCTGTGCTGTACTGATTATAATTTTAATTTCATCAAAGTCACAGATAATAAAAGGAAACCTCAAATGGTTTGTTAGTTAGAAATATTAGGCAAGTACAATGAAGTATATCCTGTATGGTTTAGGATAAGATACCTAAAATAACAATATAAATGTACAGCCATAGACATTTAAAGACCTTTCTGATTTGCTAGCCTTGGCATATTGGGAATATAAAAGCTACAATACTCTTTATTTTGTACCATGACTAATGAAAGAATCAAATGAACTGACCAATGTCTATCTTTCCCTTGGTGAATAA